CGTGTATGTGTACTGTATATGTGTATATGTTTTGTATATACGTTTAGCATGTTTGTATGCGTAGTGTATATGTTTTGTGTATACAATTATAGCATGCGTGTATGTGTTACTTATCGGCGCGTACATTGCTTTTATGCTTACTGCAAGATGCACGCAACCTTGACATTCATAATATAATAATGTAGAGCTGTGTGTGTGTGTTGTGTGGTGTGTGTGTTGTGTGTGTGTGTGTGTGTGTGTGTGTGTGTGTGTGTGTGTGTGTGTGTGTGTGTGTGTGTAAGGCATTTATTTAACCGAGCAATTGAATTCAATTATAAAGTTTAATACTCTGCAAATATTTGTCCACTGCTTTGATTAATAACATTGCAAGACTTGCATTTTTTACGAATCATAGGTATCATGGAAATATAATAAGAAATTAAATGATATAAAGTAATGAGTTTAATAAAATGATAAATTTATTTATTTATGTTTAACATTTTTTTCTTAATAAACAAAAGATTTAAAAATTAAAAAGTTACTAGAAGCAGAGCTAGAGTGTTTATGTTTGTTGTGAAATAATAAAATGAGGCATTCGTATTCACGCTCGTGCAAATTACATTCTGTTAAACATAACAAAAAGAGAAACGCGGTTAACACCGGTATAATTTATAATGTATATAAATTACGATGTTTGAGAATGTTATCTTGGCTCTGTTACTGAATGCCATATTTTGAAATGTTTATTTCCATATTTTAAATAACAACGTTGAAATGTTAGAAAGTATGTCAAGGGGATGTACCTACAAATAAATAAACAAACAAATGAATAAATATCGTGATAACATCTAGCATTGAAGAGAGGTGTCTGGTTGATGGTGGAGCAAGAATGAAGCTTTCTCCTTGTGCATACTATAAGCAGTTGTTGTGGATTGTAGGGGCAGTCGGTGTTGATTGTAGGTGCTAACATGGGGGGGGGGGCAAGGGTGGTTGGTCTAGAATTTTAAGGTGGTAGAGTGGTTATTTTATCAGATGATTTTTCGGTTATTCTACATTTTTTGAAAATGAACGTTTTAATTTCCATTTAACGTTACGACGACGTTAAAAGAAAAATTTCCTAACAAGTTTTTGTTTTTCCTTTGATAGGGAAACGTATCCCGTTGCATCCATCTTAAATAAAATTTGTTTGCGAAATTTTATGTTCGTCGTAAAAAGTAAGTTACAGTTACTTCAATCATTGCTGGTTGGGGCTGGCACTGCAATTTCTATAAATGCAAACCCTTAATTTAGAGTGCCATTTGTTAAAACTTTCTCAATGCATAAACTTTTCAAATTTAAATATTCTAGTCTCTATAAATGGTAAATCCACGCACATTTCAATACTGTATTGGTTCTCACCTTGTTTCCACAAAACATTTGGTTCATGCTGCTTGCAAGAAAATTTTGGATCCATCGTTTGCTCTGGTGAATGAATTCAAAATATCTTCAGAACATGCGAATCTGCTAACAGACCTCAAATAGAAAGAAAAGCAAAGTAAAAGCAAAGCAAAGTTTCTCGTCCTAATGAGATAAATTCATGTGGTAAATAAATGTTTTAATTTAATTTTAAATTAACTTTTTTAACTTTAGTTTTACGATTTTATGCTGAGCTGTTTATTTTACCTCCTGGTTCACCACTCAAAAAAGTTTAAACCAAAGTTTACAAAATTAATGTTAGTGTTACAATGTTTTGAGGAAAAATAAAGTGGAGTTGTTTTCTTGTATCATTGTGGGAAAGTCTTTCCAAGAGCTCTTCCAGTTGTACCTACACTTGCCTACTAGCCAGGGTCCTTGAATGTTAATTAAATTTAATAACTCTATACAACAGAGCAGCAGTTTCAAAGTGGTGAAACTTTTCCATAAAAATTAATTTTACAATGATTATTTTCATTTTTCGGAATTGTATTTATAGTTAAATGCAACAATTATTAACCTCTTAAATTTAAACATACAAATTCATTCGACCTAACAAGTTTACACTAAATAAATTCCTCCAGACGGCATAAACAAATGAAGTTGTCTTGCTTGGGAAAAAACATGACATCCATATATATCGCAGATGCGATGAGTCCAAAAACATGCATGCACGCATAAATAGGTTGAGTTTTAGGTTTATATTATGAAAACTACATAAAATTTTATCCTAATTTTGCTCTGACATATTCATGTGTTGTGAGATGAAGAAATTTCAGTTGTTTCTCATGTGAAATGTCCATTGAATCTAATTATTAAACTACAATTTGTTTTTGTATTTGTACGTGTCTAGGTATATTGTTGTAGACCAATGTTCATGCTTGTATAATAGTTAAAAAAATTGAGTTTTTATATATTATTCAAATTATTTTAATTAATAATAAAATTGGTAAATTTCAAATTTAAACTCCGAACGAATAAACACAAAAATGTTTTATTATAAATTCAGATTCACAAACTTCGTACACATACAAGTACGAAACAACAACAACGACAATAAATGGGTGTTATATGAATCGTTAAAATTTGAAAGTTAAAGTTTTTTTTTTCGGAAGATGAGTCAGAAGTTAGAAAAGTTTACGAAATAACATGCTAACTAATTCAGTACTCTCTGCTAGAATTTGATATCCAATTGACTAATTATTTAAACACATGAAAAGCCATTGTTAATTTTATTATCGACATATCTCAAAATACATTCATACAAATCACAACAATTTTATCATGACAACATTGTCCATTATCCAGAGATTTTTTTTTGTTCAAAAATGGTTTACAGTACCTACAATATGCAGATAATCTTACAAAAAATTTGACGTTTATTATAATTTTTTGATTCAAATGTTATTCATATAAAAACTTCAATCCATTAAGTGTGAAATAAATTTGACACATTAAACCCAGCTATGTAGTGTGCACGCAAGACTTAATTAAACTTCATCATTTAACTAAATCGACTATTTCATTATCTTAAGTAATTTATGAAAAGCGTTCCTAGATACAAAAAATATTAGTAATGAAATATTTTGAAGAATTTAAACAGCCGCTATTTTTCGATGAAAGATTCTTTGTATCTAGGATTGTTAGGTTGTTTTTATTTTTGAAAAATTAGGCGATGTGATTTTACGGCTCTATATTATAAAAATGTTATAAAGAAAAAATTTATAAATTCTAAAAAGTTTAAGAAAAAAATTTGATAAAAAACACACCTATGTACGTATATATACACGTCCTTCCCTACTTTTAGGCAGGATATATTCGTGCGTATGTATGTGTGCTTTCTAGTCAACAAAATTCTCAGCCAATGACGACCATGAAATAAAGTTTAAGAAATGATGAAATCTCATTAAACACTGTTACAATCGGGAATAAACTTTGTTTATTAAATGAATTGGAAAAAAATTTAAAAGTCTGAACTTTTTTCTTCAAATTTAATTAATGAAATTTTCATTTTTGAATTAAAATCCGCCAACGAAACTTAGCTGGAACGCCTCAGTTAGCCATTATTGATTTGATAACTTTTTGTTGCGATTTACTTTGCAATAATATTAAATTTTTCAAATGACATTTGAAAACAGCTGATATATATATATATATATATATATATATATATATATATATATATATCATAGAAATATATATATATTTCTATGACAGCATTCGCGCGTATGTATGTGCAAATTTGAAAAAAAAATCCAGTAAAAAATTCGAAAGTAGAAAAATCTCGCAATAGAAATAATGAAGAGAAATTGTTCATGCTATCAAGATAACGATGATCAACTTTAACTACAATAATTATCCATCCTTTAATTAAAACAAATAAATAAAGACAGTTTCGACTGCAGCTTTTAATTAATATACGTAGTTGATCTCAACAAAAACAAAATAAAATGTGACTGAACAAACTTCCGTAAATTGCAAAATAAAAAAAAATATTTATTGAAGGTTAATGATGTGAAAAATTCTTTTATATATCATTACCTTCAAGACAACCAATCTCATCGTAAATGAACAACATGATAGAGATTTACTTGAGGTTTAGAGGATTACTTGAATTTTCATCAACTTATTTTTTGTCTCTATTAAATAAGTGAATTAAATCCTATTCTGATTTTTGAATTGATTGTGATTGGAAAAAATATATCAACCTTGTAAATAACAAAAATTCATAAATCAAAATTTATACTGTCCGCCAAACACCCTCAATTTTGATACGTTTAAATGTTGGCCAGCTTGAATGAATGAGCGACAAGTTCTTACAATACTGATTTATAATTATATTAACGCACTCACAATTAAACAAACAAATAAATGAATGAATGAGAGAATTAATGAATGGATGACTGGATGAATGAATGAATAAGTGAATGAATGAGTGAATAAACAAATGAAAATAGAATGGAATGACCGAACGAAAAAACAAACATATCTGTGAATGTGAACACTCGGACGTTTGGAAGAAGGAATGAAAAAATAAATGAATAAATAAATGATTGAAAGATAGTCTCCATAAAAATTACTTGAAGAGAGAAGAAATGAAATTAAAAAAAGACTAACATTTAATTTGCGAGATATTGCGCTAGTCACAATTTGTCAATTGAGCAGATGAAAATTTTCTGAAGATAAGTAGAAATTCAAACTATTTATTTATCCCTAGCGGGCTACGAAAGTTCACGATAATCAAGAGACAATATAGTTCTTAAAACGTGTATACAACTTTGTAAATGCAATTTAAAGTATTTTAAAATTTTCATACAAACAAATAAATATGAAGATATATAAGTATAGGTATTCGAAATTTTTATATTATAGAAATATCATTTAAGAGTTTGGAAGATTGAAAATAAACTGGCAAAAGGAGATGGCATAGATAATGAGAAAAAACTGATTCAGGAATGTTTATGATTTCAGTATTACGTAAAAAAGTATTACTTTATGAAAAAGTTTATTCACTGATCACGGAATTTATTGGAAAAAATTACTATTTTGAGTTAAGTTGAAAAAATCTCTTTTGTTGGGTTCATAATTCAATTATTTATTGGTTATAAACTTGAAAAATAGTAATAATAATAAGGTGAGCATAAATAATTTAAATGTATAACAATCTCAAATTAACTATTATTAAAATGGTTGTTAAATAAACGTTGAATATGGTTCAGAAGTTTCTTTTTACTTATGAAATACAAAAAATTTACTTGTGAGATATTTTAAAAATTGTCTAAAGTCCCATTTACATGTGAGCAACAACATTGAGAAACGCAGCGAAACGTTAAAATATTCTTAGTTAGTATTAATAAAATACAGTTTCAAATATGGAAATCATCGAATTATAAATAAAAATTTTTCAATAAGTTTTATTAATTAATTAATCAATTAATTAATTTAAGAACAATGACCAAAAAATACGTCCACATCATCATAGTGCAGCGCATCATAAATGTGACGGGCATTTCATTCTTTGTCCAGTTAACGAGGTCCAAACATGTTCGACCAAAGTTGCATGAACTCTGTTTTGTCCAAGCTGCCATCTTGATTTTTATCGAATACCTGTCAGATGTTTTCGGTTTAGTTTTGTGATTTTAAAAATATTATCTTTTGTGTGATTTATATTTTTGTGCAGTTTTTTTTAAATATTCTTCCTCTCTATGCCTAAAACGTTCCAAAAATGATTGCTTTATTAACGTTCATTATTTATTAATATTCACTAAAGTCTTAAAAAAAATGATTGCGTATAATGGTTTTTTTATGTAACAGCTTGTAAACAGTCTTAATAGGTATTTTTTTGCTATAAAATCATGAAATTTTACGATTGTAAAAATGATTTTTTAAGTTTGAAGAACTATGTTAAAAGACTACTGCACTTTTTAGATGTTTTTCAAATAAAAATGAGAGAAAACATAAAATAAGTAGCTTGCTCGAAAAAAGAGGTATTGTTTAGGAGTGACATGTAGAAGTCGATCCTATTGTTGGTTGGAAGCGTTGCGATAAGTTAAAAATTCTTTACAAGACAATACGTTACATGTTCACAAGTCACATGCTCACAAATTATAGGTTCACCTAACACATGTCAACATGTTATACGTAAATTTACATGCTAGCAGGTTCAAACACAGCGCATATCGATACGTCGCATGCAACATGCTGGTGTCGGATTGGAATAAAAAAAGATGTGATGTAGTTGAAAATTTCACGAACAAAGCAAGTTTTATGCCGCATTTTTGCTCTAAGCTGTTATTAAATTAATGCATAACCCTGCCAATTATTGAACCAGAGGTGATGATGAGAATGATGAAGACGATGACAATACAGGTGATAATGTGGACGTGATGATGACGCCACATAAAGTTACCAAATTAAAAACCTTATTAAATATTTAACTATAAAGTTTTACAGTGAAAAATGTTAAGTTTTGATTTTAAACAAGAAGACGGCACACGAGATGATTTATAAGGTGCCACGTTAACTGCTTGTCAACGTTCGTGTTAACTACGTTTGTTTGTTTGTTTGTTTATTTGTTTGTTGGTTTGTTTGTTGGTTTGTTGGTTTGTTTGTTTGTTTGTTGGTTTGTTTGCTACTTTTTTCACTTCATTCAACACTTTTATTTTAAGCATTGTATTCTTTGCACACGTCAACCATTCATTCAAGCAAACATCTGCTGCTGGCAAAAATTGTCTGTTGAATTTTTTCCCTGTAAAAATCTTTATGGACTTTATTTGCACAAAAGTTGCCTTGAGCTTCTCAAAATATGGAAACTATTTTTTGAACCGCATCGTTTTTGAATGGTTAGATTGAATTGATTTGAAGTTCTGAGACAACGAAAATGTTCAGGTTAGATTTTGTAAAATTTTGTTGGTTTCAAGTTACTGAATTTATTACAAAGATCTAAACTACAATTTTGTTATGAAAAAAACCTCAAATAAGTCACTGGTTAAAACGTTAAATGATTGTTTACTAGTGGTCGTATTAACTAATGTTTCACACTTACAAACAATAACAAATAAACGAACTTGCATTCATGATGAACGCACGAACAAACAAATCACGATGAACCAGCATTAGTAACAAACGAACAAGCGAACGAACAAATCATGATGAACCTGCATTAGCGAGACGGCCATCTGATCATTGTAGCCCATCAGCTCCTTGATGACGGATATGACCTCATCTGGACTCAACACTCCGTTGCCATCCTTGTCGAGTTCCAGGAACCGATTGGTAATCTCTTCGTTTCTGTTTTAATATTTTGGCGGTTGTTTTTAAAATATATTTGACCAACCGTTAAGTAAAAGCCTTAAGTTATATATCTATCCAACAGAGCTCTTCAAAAAATTGTGGGTCTAAAGATTTTTCCTGTAATTCTCTAGTGATCGAGGAACATTCAGAAAATGAGTGTTTAAAGTTCTATGGAAGAAGAACATTTACAACTGACTTGTTACGTTGGCGGTTTTGGGGCTTTGAAGAAATTTGAAAACGAAAAAGAGAAACTTTAAAGATCAGGTAATTAAATATGGCTATGCTATTTGATAGTATTCAATAAAAATATTAGAATGCAATTCAATTAGTGACAAACAACGAATGCTGAAAAAATGAAAAACGCTGTTCAATGCGAGACACCAGTCACGATGTAGATTGGATTGAATAATATTCATGTTGTTCTTACCCGAATGTTTTTTTTTATAGTTGTAGGGGTTCGGTAAACATTTTTCCTTTCGTTGTCGCTACATACATATAACTCTCGACAAAAACAGAAAAAAATCTAGTCAATCGGACGTGCAATGTTCTCGATTTGCTTCACGTGAAGCGAATGCTTTACGACGGCTGTGCACTGAACTCTCCATGATGAAAGAACTGGTCAACTTAAAAATATTTTCTGATTTTAAGTTTAGTACCTGAAATATTAATACTATTACACGTATCTGATGACGGTGTACGTTAACGTTTTAACAAAGCTTATAGTATTTGTCATTTTGAAGTTACGGAGAATATTCTTCAATTACGTCTTTGTCAACATGAATAAAAATTTATTGAAAATTATAACATTGCTAATTTTAAAATTTTTATTATAAATTTACTCAGTGATGCAGTGCTTTTACTCAGTACTTTTACTTTTTTTTTACTGATTTAGCAGTTTTTTAGTTAATTGTTAATTATTAGTTAATTGCACAATAATTCAAAATCGCAACAAAAAAATTACTTACGTAGCTTTGGCCTCTGCATAAAAATCAGAAAATTCTTCAATATCCAATTTTCCATTACCATCTTTGTCAAATTTTTTCAGCAACATGACAACTTTTCCAGATGGGAAATTGAAAGGTGGGTTCTGAAGGATGTAGGATGCCTCTTCCAGGGTTATATAGCCGTTGTTGTCCCGGTCATACTCTTTAAACTTTGGAACCAGTTTGACCTTTCTATATAATTAAATTAATTTCGGTTGGTTGATTAAATAGATTAAATTTGTTCAATAAGCATTGAATTATTCATTCCATCAAACCATACTCAAAAATTGTCAAAAAAGACTCTTGACTAAATTTGTTAAACCAAGTAAATACAAATTAAAAAACTGAATACATCCATCTATCAACAAATCAAACTGTTTCATGGTTTAATTTCCACATAAATTTTAGATGCGGCAGCATAATAAATTTGCTCCAATAGTGGCAACAACGTTTTATGGATGCCAACCGCCAAACAGCTGACCGACCGACCGACCGATCACTCACGTTTCTTCAATTTTGTTCTTGAAGTGCACAAACTCCGCGGCTGAGAGCCTGCCATCGTGGTTGTGATCAAACTTTTTGACAAAGTGGAGAGCCCTGTCTTCTGGGTAGTGCAGCTCACTCTTCAGTATCGTCACTGCCTGCTCGAACGATATGAACTCCTCACCGCTGTTTGGTTATAACACAGATGATGATAAAAACTGTGACGATTAGTCGTATGAAACGTGACACTTTGAATAGTGATGACTAAAAATATCATGCAAATATATATTGCTCTAGTGTCAGCAAGAATTGTTTTCTTTGAAATGAAGGAAAGGATGGAGGAAATGTTGAATGCTGTTCAATGACTATAAATAAGATGATGTGATGAAAGATGAGGACGTGAGAGATGGCAATTAATATTACTACGTACGTTATCTTGGCTTTTAACTCCATTGCCATGTTCTTCATCCTGTTCACCCCCTGGTTGAAAAAGTCCATTGTTCAGCAAAATTTGCTGGAGAAAATTTTTTAATGAGGTTTTTGGTTTTTTTATTGACGGTTATGTTTTGCTTCTGGCAAGCAGAGATTTAATTTCGTAGCTTTTATTGGAGATCTGATGAGAATTTTTCCCCGAGTGTTATTCCTGAAATTTTTTATTACAACATTTTTCATAATTCGATTTAGTCTAAAACGTTGAATTTAAAACTCATTATGGAAAGTTGTGAAAAACAAGGAACGTTGAAAACGTAAATAAAAAGTGTTATAATAAAAATTGACAATTAATTCCAGCAATTACTACGACGCAAATATCTCTAGTATAAAAAAACGTGTCTTTAATGTCTTCAACAATAATCATTCGTCCTCACATCAATGAATACCACCATCACCAATGTTGTAGTCATCATTATCACCATAATATTTTACATCATCATCAATAATATCATCGTCATTTTCATCATCATCATCTCTGCAGATATCATCAACATCTTTATCACAAAATGTCACCGTCATCTTCATCACTTTGACCATTACAACAACATACCATCAACGTCATCGTCACACTATCTATCTTCCTCACTGACAACATCCCAACATCCTTAACCGAATGATATGCCTACATTTGCATAACTTGGTGTCGTGTTTGTAATTTTTCTTCGTTGGAATTCGTTTTAATTTCTTTCCAATTGTCATGAAAGTGTTGATGTAGTTTGAGTGGGTCTACGTTAAAATATTTGATCTTTTTATCATTTAACATAGATAATTTCTATTATTTCCATAATTTGTGTGTAAACTTGTTATCAAATTAAAATCTGCTTATTTATTTTTTCTAAGTTATTCGAAAATCTGCCAAATGACCAAGAGAGACATTAAAAATGTACATCATTCTATAGCACAAGGATCGAAAAGTTGACATCTTTCATGAATTAAAAATCAGTCACAATTCACAATAATTATTAAAGTACGAAGTAGTTGATTGACGTTTCAAACCATCACAAGCACCAACCAGGCTTCTACTCACCAACAAATCGATTGAGTGGGCTGGGCGGGCATCGTTAAACGCAATCGTTGAGACGTCTGATGGAGTGCAAACTCGTAAAAAGCAAGTTAAATATTTTGCTCTTTTTGTCTTCGGAATAAAAATGTGAATGAATAAAAACGAAGAACAAAACTGATAGAGAAATGAAGTAAACATTTTACATGGCTGTAATAAAAAGGCGTATATACGCACACAAACTCACTTTGTGTGAACTTAACACACACAAACACACACACAAACACACAACAAAAACACATCAACACAGATAGAAAAGAAATAATACCGATTGAAAAATGTTCTCAAACAAAAACTCATCAAGCTCTTTCACAAAAACGTAAATTACATAGCTAAGGACCGGAAACACAACACAAATGCACTTTATTCGCCCATCCCTATTCATGACGTCACAAAAACGCGCACAGCTGAGGCTGAATGTCCAAACGTTTTGTCAGTAGAAGCGGTCGATATGAAAGGAAATGGACGTGTATTTTTGTTCTGTTGTTGTTGTTGTTGGGTCGTTTGTCGTGCTAGTTGCTGTTCTTGTAAACATCCATATTCTTATGATTAACATTAAGTATGAGTTACGGCAGTCAAGGTTTTCAAGTTGCTGATCAAAGTTTGTGTGTAAACAGGTTCAAGTTTGTGTACACCCGTTACGTTTGTATAGTTTTCTTTATAGTTTTTTAGTTTGATTCTACATGCGTTCAAGTAAGTAGGTGTACTGTATCCATTCGACACAATCACATGCGCGAATGTACGTGTTTGTACGTGTCTGTACACGAATGTACATGCCAGAGCATCCGTCCGTTGTTATAAGATGACTTGAATGGCACCGCCAAACAACTGCACCGCCGCGAAAACAACATTAAAACTGCTCATTAAAATTTTAAATCGGACTTTTGTTGTTTTTTTTATATTATTATTACCATTATTATTGTTTATTATTTTTGTATTTTTATTATTATTATCATCATCATTATTACAACGGTCTCTAAAGTTATGGTGCGTAGGATTTAATACGAGTCTAAACCAGCAATTGTAACAAACGAGATTGTATGCTGTTATCGTTATTCATATAATTATTTATTTATAATAATATTATTGTTTATTAATAATATTATTATTGTTATTATTATTATTATAACTATTGATGTTGCCAAAATCTATACTCACGTGAATGAGGCGCAATTGTGAAATGTCCGTACGCTGACACAACTGCTGCTACTAATTACAACCATCAATTTTAATGCTTATAATTTTCTGGTGGTTTAGTAATACTAATAATACTGCTGCTGCTGCTTTTCCTACTACAACACCTGCTCATGCTGCTGCTACTGCTACTCCAACTATTATATTACAATCGCTACTACACCACGATAATACTAGTTTAATACTAATTTATTGCCGCTATCAACAACAATTTAAATAATCTTAACTTGTTCAAGTGTAATAATACAACCGCTTCAACCGATACTACGACTACTACCGCTAATTCTACAGCCGCAACTACCAATACTACAGCAGCCACTACCACTAATACTACAAGAGCTATTTCCAAACCTGTCATCCTATACATACAGAGCAACGTGATGTAACTCAATCATAACTGTCCGACGCCACTTTGAACAATTCTCCTCCTCATATTGCAGCAAAAAATAATTGACTTTTATTGCATCTGCCACTTCAAATAATACAGCTCCCATGTGCAAATGTCTGTTTATCTGTATGCTTTCGCCAATATTTTCAAGTTTTCATCATGAATTTTTTATTTTGATTTTTCTTTCATATATTTTACAGTTGCTACCACAAATATTATCGCATTTTTAATAGCCAAGTAAAGTTTTCTCCTTCTTTTTGTACAGACATATTTTTTTACGTTCTTCCTATCAATTGCTTCTCAATGATGCAAAAATTCATACATAAAATTTGCAACGGATTAAAAAATAAAATTGCAGAGACCGTTAAAACAAATGATACAAAGTAATCTACAGCCACAACTACCAATACTACAGCAGCCACTACCACTAATACTACATAATGTGGCTAATGCTAACATTATAATAATTTTAAAAATAACAAAATCAAATTATTTCAAAATTGTTGCTCAATACTACATTTTAATTACTAAGCTTTAATACTACTTTGCATTACTATGCTTGAAAATACTAAAAGCTGACCGACGATGAATCGCGAGAATAAAAACATTTTGACTGCAAACATCAATTCGGACTCAAGCTATTTGGCAGAAGATTTTCTCCAGAAGCAAAATTGATCGTAAAACCAACATTTGGTTCGTTTTAACACTTTAAAAATAAAATTATTCTTAACAAGTTTTTTTTTAACTTTTTCTAATTTTTATTTCACCAGCTACTAACTCTATTTATAAATTATTTGTGAGTAACTTCTGCAGTAAGATGGATGTTTTTAAACAAATAAATTAAAAATTTTCTCAGAGGAAGAAAAAAATGTAGTTGTGGTTGATTTATGGCTCTGCTAGTAATCTGCCGGTGCGAATTGTTTAGAAGTCGCCGCAGAGGTATTCAATCTTGGAGCGTCGGTGCAAATTTGATTGTGGCAGCTGCAAGTACAAGCATGTCATGTGTACAACGACAGCAACAACACCATATTTATTGTTATGTGTATGTACGTGTATGTATGTATGTTTGTATGTATGTTTGTTTGTATGTATGTTTGTGTGTACGTATGTATGTATGTATGTATATATGTTTGTTTGTTTGTTTGTATGTATGTATGTATGTATAAATGTGTATATACGTATATATGTGTGTGTGTGTGATTGAGTGTGTTTGTTCACGACGAGACAGCAAATTTACAGACATAAGGCAGATTAATATAAGATAATATAACGTATAGTTATTCAGAAAACATAATACTTTATATAATAAAAACTGGGTGACATACAATAGGGACTGACTAGTTAGAAGGAGTTAGACAATTAGTTAAGCTCTAGTGAGCAAGGTCTCCTAGTATATGTATAACAGGCGAGCACATGGGTTAAAGGGAGTAAGTTAAGAGTTATCTTAGTTATCTCTCAAACATTTTTTAAGGCTTAACACACTAGAGCACATTGGAACATTCTTAGATAATCTTTACATTATTTTTATTAGCGTTATTCAATTTTACAATTTAGATTTTGTTATAATATTAAACAATAAAATAATATTAACAATAATGGGTGAGTCGTTTCTCGTTCGATTTCGATTATTAAACTTTATAACATTTTAAACACTAACTAATACTCAACACACATGAGTCGCCAATTAAAATCATCTATCATTATTTTATGTTCATGAACAATTTTGAGTTATTTAACGTTGAGCGAGCGAGTTTGCAGAAAAAGAAAGAATTTCCCCAAGAACCAACTAAGTTGTTCATTCGGTAACCGTCGTAGAATGGAGAAGAGCGAGCAATATAACATTACTCACGAGTTCGTTTTGCTAAAAAACATCTTATGATGAAGAAGTACGAAGAATTTTGTATTTTGTTTTACTGCCTTGCATGTTGTTACAGTTTCTGCGTCTGTCAGATCCTGATTTTTAAAGAATAATAAAAAAAAAATATTTAAAAAATTTTTTGTTATAAATTTCGTTAGATTTAAATTTATCGTCTATATATTATTTGCATTCCATATAAAATACTCATAAATAATTAGTTGCTTTTAAGACATTTTCTGATAGGTATGATTCTCAAGTTGATTCTAGCTTTAGCAAGAATTCTGAAGTGCCGTCTTAAAATGAACTCGTCTTAACTTATTAACCAAAATACACTAGAATTAACCTATCATTCACAAGTGCGTTATCTCCTCAAATGAATACGAACAAAACATGTTGGCCAACAACTCATTTGAATGAAAACCCATCATTTATATAATTATTTTAAAATATTCTTCTATTTTTTCCAACCATAAAAAAATTTCCATATATAATTCCTAATCGATCACCAACATTTTTTTCATATAAAACGGTTTTCAAACATTGTTTCTTGTAAAACTGTTCAGTAAAAACAGAAGCGTAATCTTAATGAGCTTTATGATGGACAGCCAAAACTTAACTGCTCATAACTGCATGCGTTCTCTTGTATTATGTAGCTTTTCTTCACTTGATCGGGCCCCAAAACATTTAATTCAACAAGTGATTCAATCACCACGAGCATGACAATGATGTCTAATTTTGGTGTTTTACATCAGTTTCAAAAATCAAAACAAAAACTCAGACAAACACGTAAGCCAATAAAAAATTAAATCTCATTAAAATTAAATATCCAGAAAAAAACGTGCACATGATACACACACACACACACACACACAACAGATGTACACACACACACATACAACACACACACATACTCTCATATGCACAAGCTTTTTAATCAGAATGCAAACACATGCATACATGGATAACAACCCGACGAAACAAATATTCATTCAATCAAAACCGTGTTTGAAAGAACAAGCGTAGGATTTCACTTGCATCCAATAAAGCTTTAATATAAATTCAGAGGCAGAATCAATTAAAACATACAAAAGGTATACACACTCCTCCACACACACACACGCACACACTCCCACACACAGATTCCCACACACACAAATTCCCACACACACAAATTCCCACACACACAAATTCCCACACACACAAATTCCCACACACATACACACACACACATGCTTTATAATCAAAGGCTGGGCTGTTATTAAATAAAAATAGATCGAATGGACCGCCGACATGATTACAATGACCGGAAATGATGGTGATAATGATGATGATGGTTATGATAACGATGGTATCGATGATGAGGATGACGACGAAGGTGGTGGTGATGATGATGATGATGATGATAACAGTAAGAATAGTGATGAAGATGAAAGTAATGGTAATGTAGAAACGATGATGATGATGATGATGGTCATGATAAGGACGATGATAACAACGATGAATACAAAATAATGACGATGCAGATAGCGATATTGATTAGCAAGATGATAAAAATGATGACAAAGATGGGATGAATGCGGTGATGCTGGTTGTTATCTGCATCGTAAAACACAACGTCACTACATCTCATCAATCAATCCTTATAGCTAGCTATTCACGATTTCAACATTTTCTTCATTTTAACGCTTGAAAATTTTCAACTTTTAGCCAAAAATATTTAAAAATATTGTAAGGACAATTATGTTTTTGGCTTTGAAAAGTTAAAATTTTTAGGCTGAAAATTATGACAAAGACGATGATGGTCAGTTGGGATGATTAAAATGATGTAAGTTGTTATCGACGATGTTGAAACGTGATACGAAGCATTAAAACTAGTACATTTTATAATCTAATTTTCTAATTTTAATTATTATTACTAACGATTACAAATTTTTGAAAAATGAAAAAAATAAACTAAATGTTGAAAAATATATAGGCTTCTTGGTAAATTAATGAACCAATCAAAATTAAAAAAACAACTAGAGCACAAACTAGATTGTTGACTCAACCAACCAACCAACCAACCAACCAACCAACCAACCGACCGACCGACCGACCGACCGACCGACCGACCGACCGACCGACCGACCGACCAACCGACCGACCGACCAACCAACCAACCAACAAACCAACCAACCAACCAACCAACCAATTAACCAACCAACCAACCAACCACCCAACCAACCAACCAACCAACCAGCCAGCCAACCAACCAACCGACCAACCGACCGACCAACCAGTCAAAAAACCAATTCTAACCAACCGACCGACCGACCAAGCAATGGACACAATTAATCAACTCAAACTTTTATTTTTTTTATAAATTTGAATATAAAAAATTAATTTAAACTGCCCGGAAGTTTACAAATTCGGCGCTAAATCTCATGAGAAATCTGATGCCATTGCTACAAAGAATGGCTGTGATAACGATGAAAACGATAAAGATGTTGATGATGATGATAAGAAAACATGGGTAAAAGTGGTGATAATGATAATAACAAGAAATATGCCAGAATTGATGAAAAGAAAGCAAAATGATACCACCGAATGATGATGATAATAATGATGATAAGAAGGATGATGATGTTGTGAATGACGTATCCATTCAAAATTAGTCCGGATTAACTTCTGAAAGAAATGAAAGAGAACAGTGAGCATCGAGATAAAAGCTCTAAAAATTGAAAATGGTGTTCATAAAGCTGCGATAGATCGGTCAGTAATAAGATAGATGAGATGACAACTGGAAATCATCAAACCAAATATGAAATAGTTGTTGTGATGTTTCTAAATTATGTATAATATTATTTAAATTTTATTATAAAAAAACTACTCTATATAAATTATTTTATATTAATTATAAATTATATTATATAAAATTATATTATATAAATTACTATATATAATTTATAAATCAGGATAAATAATTCAAGCTGATCAATGTTAATGTGATCGATAATGATGAATGAAAGGTTGGCCAAGTGATATGTTGGTGGAAATAGATATGTGGCCCATATCACTAGTTATAAATTTCATGAAAATATCATATCCAAAAAATAACATTTTACGAATTAATCGCGTGAAAAGTCAACAACACCGTTACTATAGAAGAAAAGGTAAGGTTTAGTTCAACAACATTAGATGAACAACAACAACAGCAACAACAACAACAACAGCAGCAACAACAACAATAACAACAAGAACTTAATTAGGCAGATTAATTTCGCAAAATCAATTTTCAAACCACAATTAGCTTTAAGATCTCAACAATAATAATAATTTATCCACTTCCAAACATCAACATTTCAATAAAACAACAAAAACCAACAACAACAAAACCAAAAATATGATTGGAACAGTCAAGAAATACTCTTTCCATTAAGCAATGCCAAAATATGATGGATTGCATTCCATTGACACCCAACCAGACTCAGCATTAATCAACAGCGAGCACACGCTAAACTATAAAACAATGCCAACAAGCCCGTCAAAGCCCAGCAACAAACATGGCGTAATGGTTAAGGTGCCTGGCACTGATGTTGCAGAAAGAGGATTCAATCGCAGAGATCACCGACTGTTGCGGGCTTATTTTGAAAGTTAACAAAATTAAGACGCAATAACGACAACATGAAATAAAAATATTATATAGATGCATGTAGAACCCAAGAAAGGCCACAACCGAAGAACCCGATATTAACAACATCATCCCTACTGCAACATTACAACTGATAAACATCCAATGTTATTACAGATTAACGATGTTTGCTCGTACGCTAGTCTTTCTGTCTCAACTAGCATCTTACTGTGACCTTGTTCGACTGCAACAACGATCGTTTATTATTCCAGCAATCCTGTATTTTGTTGCTGTAGTAAATGTTTTGTAGCAGCCTTAGTATTAGTAGTATCAGTAGTAGTGGTATTAGTAGTTATAGTAGAAGATGTAATATTTGCAGTGATTGCAATGCTGAAAAATCGTTTTACCAATATTATTTATAATAACAAACACATAAAAGTAATAGCTTTAGAAGTAGCAGTAACAGCAGTAGTAGTAGTAATTACAGTAGTAGTAGTAGCAGCAGCATCTGTAGTAGTAGTAATAGTAGTAGTAGTAATAGTAGTAGTAGTAGATGTAGTTGTAATAGTAGAAGTAATGATAGCAGTAGTTGCATTGCAGAAAAACCATGTCACCAAAGTTATTTATAACAACAAACACATAAAATTTTTAACAAAAATAAAAAATTATAATGATAATAAAAGCTTTCATGTCCAAATCTTCCTTCTTTACAGCTACTTCCGGCATTTAGCCAGGACAAAAGATTATAAATAAGACCAAGATTAAATCGATCCTAGTACGATCTTAGGCTGTAGTAATCTTGGTTGTTTGTCGTCATCGTCGTTGTCGTCATCACCATCATCATCAATATATACATCACATCATCATCATATAACATCAATTCAATCATCATCCTCATCAAATATAGATACATATATCATAGATGGTATATATATTTATATATCATAATCATCATTTTGTAGCCCTAACATAATCATTATATCATCATTACCATAATAGACGGAATCGTAATCTCTTTTATTATCATCATCTTCATGGTTGTTATCACCATAATTTTTATCATCATTTTCCATCAACATCGAAAATAATTCTATCAATTTTATTTTCTTCATCAATATAAGGCTGCCCGTGTAATTATGTCATTGCCATGCCATCGTCACTGTAAAAAAAAAAAGTACATTCCTAATTCTACGCCGTGTATCGTTGAAAAGAATTTTAAAAACATTCCACGTAGAATTAATATTAACAGATCTGTAAATTTTCAATATTTCCATGTTATATGATGATAATACATTGATATTCCGTAGAAACTGATAGAAGAACGTACAGCTTATAATAATTAAATACATTTAGATGAAAAATAATTTTCATGGCAATTACTCAGCGTTGAAATGAGCGTTTAATTAGTAGATTGAAAATATAATTGATAAATTAGGCAGGTAGGCAGACAGGGTTGCTCCCACCAGGCCTCAGCGTGTTTAATGGTTCACAAAACAACTCCAGAAACATGAAATATCCTAAAAATTTAGAAACATTCTTCTTCCTATGAATGATGAAAAAAATTTTTTTTTATTAAAACGTGAAACTATTGACGATATAGTAACAAAGAAGCCAAAAAATTGAATCAAAAAAGTTGAATTAAAATATAAATTAGGATTTAGACTAAACCAGAAAAGTAAACAAAGACATGTGCTGGAATGCTTGGACATGAAATGATGATGCAAAAACAATCAACTAAAAATATCGCCCGAACTGGCAACAGTCTGGCAACGGTCTGGCAACGGTCTGGCAACGGTCTGGCAAAGGTCTGGCAACAGTTTCAATGTTATCGCTGAAGATTTTAATCATCATTAAATGTTCCAATAACTTTGACTTTTGATTATTTTATTTAATTTTTAAAAAATTATTAACACGATAATGCGACGCTATAATTGTATCTATGATCACGATCAAACTTCGGAGAAATAAAGTGTCTTTTTTACATAAGTGTAGCAGACTTGCATACATTATTTCATAGTCTTTTAAAACGACCCCTTCATTTTTGCGAGTTATTTACTGTTTGAAAGGTCAGAAGTCACGTTCTCGGAAGGCGAGTTCTTATTTCTCTGATATTTTTTTTCAATTCTGCTGTTTTTCTTGGCAGCATTTCTTGATTTGTTGCCAGTTTTTGTGTTTATTTGTAGAAATGTACGTGTGCATGTGATGTGTGTGTGTGTGTGTGTGTGTGTGAGTATTTTCATGTCAGAGTATGTTTACGTGCATGCCTGTTAGCTCAATGACAAGTAAATTTTTCACATTTTTAAAAATTTTGATAATTCATATTCGTGTAAAATCTTTTAAAACTATTGATACTTCTCTTGTTATATAGTTTTCAAAATTTTCACGTTAATACGTCTGAAGATACAATCGAATCTTTATATTATAATGTCATAATAAAAAAAAAAATTCAAACTTTTGAAACTTAAAACGAGAGAAAAATTTTCTCGAGAACAGATAGTGTCCGCAACTCAACAAATGCATTTCAACTTGTGAAACTTTTCCGACTTGACAGTTTGGTTTAATTTTGTTAGTTCGATGCAGTGAACAAAACTTTTATTACCTCATTTCATTTTATTTCTAACGCCAAATTAAACAATTTAATGTTTTTTACAAAACTGAATTTGTTTTTCTGACAATTTAAATTTTTCCGGAGGTGCATGGTTTAAATAAAAACTTTAATAATTTAAATTTTGGGTACGCTTAATTAATGTTTTTTCGTTTGTTTGGGATGTTATAGTTCAAATTCGTTTGGTTCATTATAACACGTTGAAGCAAAATATAAAAATAAAGCATTTGATGATGTATTTTAGAGAATAGAAACATGAAATAGTTTTCATTTTCTTAGCAAAAAAAATTTTTAAAGCATGTTTTGAGTGCATTTTTAGCAATTTAATTTTCAACACACGAAGAAAAAAATTAAAACATTGAAAAATGAATGCACTTTAATTGTGTGATGTGATGCCATTACGTGATTGAATGTGTATGTGTGTGGCGTATGTGTGTGTGTGTATGTGTGTGAGAGTATGTGGGTATGTATGTGTGTGTGTATGTGTGCGCGCGCGCAAAATGTGTTTAGATTCTTGTGTCTTTGTGTATAGAGACTGGCGTCAGAATGTATGCATGAAACGAATAAATTTTGTTTTGTGCATTTGTGAAGAATTGGCTGCGATAAATTTTTTTCGCTGTAATAAGTTTGATCTGATAAGATTCTTAAGCATGTGTGTGTGTGTTTGTTTGTATGTGTGATGATATTGAATCTTCTAGTTTCCATGCATTAATGAATGAAGGACGCATGCATGCAGATGCACGTGTGGTGTGACGATGGAATGAACATTTGCAGGAAGAAGGTTTTAATTAGCGGGCATTGATGTTCCATGTCGATATTTTTTCCCTTGCACTTTTTTGTTTGTTTTTTTTTAATCCAGACTTTGTTAGCGCCGATGTTTTTTGATATCGATTGGAATGGAATGAGAATTTATTGTTATCGTGCTGCGAGGGACATTGCCTAGCTGCAATCCAAATAATTTATTTTATCGTTCGGCGTGTGGCTACTTCTACACGTGCACGTGTGCTCGTTCTATGAAAAGTAGGTCGTACACATTTTTTATACGTTTGATTTTTTTATCGGAAATAAATTTCATTATTGTCATTTTATTCCTTTTTTGCAGGCAGCATAGAGATGGTTTGCAGCAACCTGCTTGTTCGTATGTCGAGGTGGGATGCTTAAAGACAAAATGGGGCTGTCATAAGTTTTTGTGGCATTTTTCTTCTCCAGTCCTTCAAAATAATTTTTGTTTTTTTTTCTAGTTGCAAAAATTTTACAATTTTCTCTGGCAAGAAAATTGTTGGCAAGCTCATTTGCATGCATGGAAGAAATGAGAAAGCAGACTTAATGAAGTTTACAAAACTTCTTCCACTATGCTAACGATATTTTTCAATTACCATGCTCATATATCTTTAACATTTCAGCTGACTGGCTGATTTTTAACTTTTATTTTTGAGCAATTGAACAGAAATTGCGATTGACCCTGGTATTGCACGGAGTCATCGCGGGATATTGGGTTTAGTTTTCAACTAGCAATAACCACACCTCGGATGAACCTCACTGGCTATGGTACTGCCTCTGCGCAAAGCTGTCTGCTATAATTCCTTACAAACGCTGCATACCATTCATCAATTTTTATGCCTGCTCACACAAAACACGAAATAATTTTCTGTTCGTTGTTGTGTCTTTCAAAAGCACCCCACCGTGCAGCTTTGTTCAATTTTGAAGAAAAAAAGTTTGTTCCCATGGTGACGAGCGTCAGCGTGACCAGAAGTTGAGGCATTTATAATTAAGGCGCCAAACGTTTTCCTCTATTGTCGTCTGATGTTGCTACTTAGTGGTCGAACATTTGCGAAATTTTGATGTGAATATATTAGTGTATGGGAGTGTGTATGCATGTTTGTGGATGTGCAAACACGTGCGTGCGTGCGTGTGTATGCTGTATGCCTACCTGTGTAGTTGTGTTGAAAACTGCCCGCGTGGAATTCGTCTACTCGGGTGGTGTGCTAACAAAGGCGTCATGACTTGAAAAAGGAAGCAGCTTGCAGCATAATTTGATGCACGTCCGCTAACGAGTTCTACAAACATGAAAGTGACAATAATTTAATTAAATGAATAAAACGTCCAAGAGCGCTTTTATGGAAAAATTTTAATGTACTACAAGCCTGTGCTTAAATAAAACATACTAAAACATAAAATGAGATGATGTACTGGCAGACAGACAGAGGGACGCATACACGTAAAGTTAAAACGTTATAGAAACACGATGAAAGACGTGTAGACAATAAAAATACAATAACCCACCTCTACGCTATGTCTACCAACTAGACGATGCTACGTGCAACAGATCTTAGACAAGCAACAGATCTTAGACAAGATAACAACTTGACGCTGGTGGCTGTGATGAAAGTTAAATTATATATATATATATATATAGTATAAGTATACATATGTGTGAGTGAGTATCTTTGTGTGTGTGTGTGTACAAAAATGTGTGTGGTGTTGTGTTTATATGTGTGTGTGTATTTAGATATACTTGCGTGCCATTTTTTGTTATTAAATATATATATATGTAAATAATATAAAATAAATATATGTACAACTAGGTTTAAAATTTCAAATGTACATAAATTGAAGAATGTTACCGAAATAAAGAAGTTTAGTTTTACAAAAATTTTAAAGTCACAAAATTCATTTAATATGTTTTATAAAAATTCGATTAACATCGTTGATAATAATGTTTTTATTATTATCGATGATAAAAATTGATTAAAAATTTCAATTATTTAATTAATAATTGATATTTTTAAGCTAATAATTATTACTTGCATAGCAATGTTGACATAAATGATGACATAAATACTTTAAATGATTGACTCTTAAAAAATTCCTTATAAAAAAAAGATTGAATTTTTAAAAGTTTAAAATCAATATTAGAGAAATGAATTTTTTTTGTTGAATGAAGAACATTAAATTTTCGAAGAGAAATATTAAAAAAAAACTAACAGAGTTTGGTACTAATTTTTTCTAGAGCCAACAACTTGAAATCAGATCAATTCAACGACGATGAGGCCAGCAACGAAGAGCAGCGGTCAACAACAACAACAACAGTGACAGCAACGGCGACGACACGCGACAACTACCAAAACGACAACTGCAATGACAGAAGCGTTTTAACAACGACGATGCATCAGACGGAGACCCTCTTTCAGTAGTTGTTGCTCCTTCCTTCTCAAATGTACATTCATTATTGTTTCTCTATGCACGTATATAAGCAAACCTACAACACATATACAATATACATCCAAAGACATACATGTGTAGAGAAAGAGCCTTGTTTGTATGCACCAACATTCGAATGTTTGTATGGCGTTCGTTAGTTGCCGTGTAACGCTAGATGTGTATGTATTGTATATTTTTGTAGATGAGACAAATGATATGAATTCTATAGGAAGACCTAGTTCAACTTCTACCCAGGTTCTTAGGACACTACAGTTAGGCATACAATTTGCTGCATCTACCTTCATGTTAACATAAATTTAAATGGTACCTCTAAAAAATTTTATAGAGTGCCAAATAAGTTAAATAATTATTACTTTCTGTATGTCGATGCTATTTTTCTCTAGATCGATGTTTGTTTTTAATACTTTTAATTATTTTGTCAAATACATTCATGTAATGGCATTTACTTCAAATAAGTGGAAGAATGTTCAACGAGCAAAATTATTTTTCTGGACAACAAATAAAAGTGAATAACCATCTCTGATGAGCCTAATACCCGTAACTATACCTCACAACAGCCAGCATTTTTTGACGAATTAAAAATTTTCTAATAAATTTCGACACTTTCTTCATTTAATTTTATTTTTTGCCCGGCTTGGCCTACAAAACTTGGCTCTTAATCAACAAATCAAAGACAAAAACGTCATGTGTTTCAGACTAATAAAAATATAAAGAAAAATTTAATAAAGTTCATTTGACACACTGTTCAAGTTTTTTATTATTTTTTTTTAAACAATTAAACATTTAACTTCTTAAGAATTGTCAACAGTATCAAGATTTCTGTGAAAAAAATTATGATTTATTTAAATTAACTTAAACAAAAACAGAATGTTAGACAGAAAATGCGAATGGTTGCACAATTATTTCGACTTGCTTCTTTACTGTCAGCCAGCAACCATAACAAATGTTCCCTAAGGGGTAAATCATGTATGTGCGGCGAAGGAAAATGAAGCCAGAGCTTATTTATAGACACTTGAATGTCTCTGAATATTTTATGGAAATAGCAAATATGTGAAGAAAAATATTAAAAATTGCGAGATAGCGATGGATTCAACATTTTTTTCTTTTGCAACGGACATGTTCGTATGTAAATGATGGGTAAAAATAAAAAGGGAAACTATTAGTTATTCAACGTAAATTATATAAGACAGAAATTGTTAAAGGTAAAAGATTAGAATATCTTTCAGAAAATAATTAAACTTGTTGTGAACATTGCACAATCGATTAAAAAAAATGCAGAAAAAACATTAAAAATGAAAAAAATTAGATAAATTGTTTTAATTGGGTGAATTAAATAAATGTTAAAGGCATTCCCGCTAGCCTAATTGCATTCTTGTGTCACATGGAGACATTCAACAAGCAACACCTGCTTGCTGGCTGGTGGTTATTAGAGGAGGTTGTTCTTTCCTCCGTTGTTTGCATTTCTTGATGTCATTGATGTTTTTGGTGAGTGTATGAGAGAGAGTGTGTGTGTGTGTGTGTGTTTGATGATTAACTGAGAAGACAAACAGTTGATAAAGATAGTAACATTGATTCTGCTGTTGATAACAATAGTGTGATGATGATGGTGACGATGATAGAGAGGTATGATGATGATGATGACGATGATGGTATAAATGGTGCTCCTAATAAAAACGCAGTAGTGAAAGATGTTAAAAAATGTCTAATTAAATTGATAATGCGGATAATCTTCTGCGCATTAACACCTCAGTCGGATGAATACATGTGGCACGCAGCACTTGCATCCACCACCATCACCACTACCACCACTAACAACAACAACAACTACTACTACAACAACATACCCTCCAAGACATTTTCATGCTACATTACTTCAAACTATATAAAATTCTGATGTCTTTCAACATTACCCACATGCAATCTATAACTATAATATATTATTATTATTATTATTTACGCAAACACAAAAAGATGGAATAGGTTAATTTTTTGTTTGGAGTCACTTCACTTTGTCTGGCTGTATGGCTTGTGTTTATTTTTCAGGAGACTGCCACCAAGCTCTAGAAAATTCCACAGATTGACCACCGTTGGACTGGATTTGACAAGATGACCTTCCAATCCAGATCTGGATGAACCCAGCCTTGAAGGACCTGCTACTTATCAACGTTGTGAATCGTTTGATCTAGAAAAATGCTTGTAATTGCGCAAAAAAAAGAAATTTTGTAGACACGGCACTACCTCGCTATGAGGCACGCATGTAATAAAGACAGTCGTGCACATTGTACATGCTATTCCGAAAATATAAAATTAATACAAGGCATACAACAATAGAGCGACACAAAACGTAAAAACGTACGCACAATTTATGGTGTACACTGGCAGCACACGACATATACAATTGCAGCAAATAATTCAGGACAGACCCCACCTGCATAAACATACAGCAGTGCCACACACCATGCTATTTATTCTCCATGTTGAAACACGACGATGACTACGATAATAAACCAAACACACTCTAGATATATCCTAAACACAATTGCACGCTTTTCACATGCGTAGAAAACCATGCACAAGCAACAATGTAGCAAGTAACACCAACGATAACGAAGAAGGACTAGAAGGCAACACCATCGAAATATAAATCTGCATTGAATTGTAAGCCTTACACATACGCAACTGGTTGTCCAGATGAAAAAAAACCTCTATTATCAACTTTGCACGTACACAACTTCGCGTATACAAATCATGTACACACACGCGCGCGCGCAAAAACACATGCACATCCATATATACACACACAGATGTATATAAAACACACGCATATATCTATACACACATCAAACTTTATATATATTAAACGCTACATTTACAAGCACATAACAATGATACACACACACACACACACATGCACACACACACACATACATGCACACATGCACACACGTATATACAGTACAACCATTTAACTGATGGATAGAGAAAATAAACAACGCACAAACGACATCAAAAAGTCATCGGTAAAATATCTGCCTCTCTTCAATTTACATTCATCACCTGCAAACAATATACAATTTCTACACGGCCTCCACTCATCAGCATCTGGATCGCATCAGCAGCAGCAGCAACCTGAAACAAACACCTGCGGGCGGGCAACAACAACCAGCAACAGACACTAACAACAACATCTAGCAACCAGCAACAAACATTAACAACAACACCCATCTAGTGAGCCCGATACAAAACTTACATCAGAAACATGAAATACATTAGAAATTTTACACAGACGACATAAACAACGAGTTTACTTCAAAATGCATTGTGCTAAAATTCAATCAAACGAAAACAACACACAAGTGCATACATGTAACAGCGAACAACGAAATATATAACCTAAAATAATAGGGGAGATAAAAAACTAGATTTTATAGCAAGTTAACTCTACAAATAATAAAACACAAAAATTCTTCCATATTCAAAAAAATAATTTCCTAAAAACTCTAAAGACATGAAACAAAAGTTTACAGAACTTACAGATCATGCTCAGTTACATGGAAAATCACAGCGTCACAAGAACAAAACTGTCATGATGTTTTCTACTGTACAACTACCAACAGAAGCATGTGAAATGAAATATGGAACATCACAAACTTCTCCGTTAACATTATCTATGAGGCACTAGGGCTTAGGAGTCGGATGAAAAATATCCGACTCCGACTCGAGTCCCTCACAAAATTTCGTCTCCTACTCCTGGTAAAAATATTTGACTGCGACTTTGA